GGGTTCCACTCTCTGAAAAGCGATGGAAAAAATATCCTCAGGTGAGGATTGAAAAAAAGTCAAGTGCAGAACTGCACGTTTTTCTTTCTTAATCACTTTGCTGACTGGTCGTGAGTATACACATTTCTATGTCTGAATGTTGCTGACCAGTCATGAGTTAACTCGTGTCTGCACTTAAAATCTAAGTAATTTTAAACACCTTGCTGACCAGAAAGTAGCTGACCGAACGGGGGAGTTCTGGCTTGAAATAGCTGGTCAGCAAGGTGTTAAGGGCTACATATTTTGTATGCATAGATTATCTCTGAGAGGACTCATGAAGATTAACAGGGTTGCCTCTGAGGAAGGAAATCAGGCTGAAAAAACTTTATCATGAGTAAAAATGACTCACCAGTTACATAAAAACCCCAAACCACAGAAACAAAAGTGCCTCTATTCCCATCCTCACTGTCTAAAGGCACCTGAGCTACTTCAAATATTTGAGGAAAAACATGAACTGATGATTACTTGCAATCAGTTTTTATTAATTAGCTTTATAGGCTAAAGTGCATAGTCAAAAGAAAGAAATGCATACATAGGAAAGATGTTTTTCTTGCTAAAATTAGAAAGACCTGAGATGCCTAAGTTTCTGCTCTAGGGAACACTAGACTGAAGGAATATGTATGCATGAGGCAGGCCTGGGAGGCTGGCTTCTGGCATGGGTCTGGCGCCCGCAGAAGCTGTTGGCATGCTAACCCTGCCCAGGCAAAAGCTGCAATAGATGGTGTTGGGATAAAGAGCCACACTTTGGATAGGTGCTGCTGGTACCAAATATGAGTTTAGTTCCATTCTGGACCCCAGGGAAGCAGCACTGTTGCTGAACTTTTCCTGGTACAGAGGCAAAGTAACATCTACCATTCCAAAGTGCAAGTCACAGGAAAGGGTACAGGGATCGCTCTTCAGTTAGCCTGGGCTTCTTGAATAAGCCCCCAGCTGTCGGTAGTCACACTTCCCACTCGATGGATATATAACAGGGTCAGGGTTAGTCAGTGAAGTCTTTGTCTTATCACATGCCTCCAACTCCTGGAGTGAGGGTGCCGAGGAGAAGGGCAAGAGGGATTCTTGTGCTCCTTGAAAGGATAAGCAGTTCATAAACAACAACTCTGAGCCTCTGTTTATTAAAATGAAAGTTATTCTGCAAGTTAAGGCCTGGCACTTAGACTGAGTCTGCTTCACTGAGCTCACACTCTGTACCTCCAGAACACTGCAGAAGAAACGTGACCGAGTCAGGACCCAGAGAGACCTCTATGTAGCCCTAGGTGGAAGCCCCAAACATACTCCAGGTAGTCTGTCCACTAACTTGCAGGAGAGAAAAAGAAATCTGTTAACTCTGCTCTCAGTTCTGGAGGTAAAGTGCTTGTTCTAGCGCAGGGGTTAATCTAGAAACAAATGTGGGCAAACTCTAAAAGTGGATCCTTAAATAGGCGCTAAGAGTAAAGGACACTAAAAGACAAACTTCGGTTTCTTTATAAGGGAGCCGACCCCAGCCTCAGTGGCCAGGGCAAAAGGCAGCGGTGTGCCATTCTACATCATCCTCTGGATCTCCTCAAAGTTCATCAGGTTGTTGGCTGTGTTGGACCAGGCAGCATGCTGGGCTCCATCCATCTCAGAAGCCAGCCGGTTACTCCTTTCCAGAGTATGATTTATGCCCCCAATCACTTCCTTACATTCAGGACACGTGCCCCTCTGCATGGCTCCCCCACAATCACCAATCACATAGATGTGGCCATTGGGACACTTGAACCAGTGTCCACGAGGAAAACCCATGGCTTTGACGATCTGTACACGCTCTTTTTCTGAGATACCCAGGCCAGAGCAGGGAAGAGTGGCTTTCAGAGCTTCCATTTTTTTCTGCACAAGCTGTTCCTCCTCCTGGGTGAACTTACATGTCCTCTCAAGGATCCTGCGGACAGCGCAGACCTCTTCTTCTATGGTACCGCTCATTTTCCCCTCTGCCATCTTGCAGCGGATCAGGAGATTCACCAGGTATGTGAGCCTCTGGATTTCACGTTGGAGGTCATCCAATTCCTGGCTGGTGAAGCTCAAACACTTCTTGGCTAGCCACTCATGGACCTGGTCTAATCGAGTCCTCACTCTACTTTGTTCTGAGAAATGCACCTTTTTCAGGGAATCCCATAGTCCAGCCAGGTGGTCATAGAAGCTGATGTAATTCTCAACAAGGCCCAGGTCCTTCACTGACAGATTTTTCTGGGCCAGCTTCTCTGTCAACATCAGGAAGTCTTCCGGAAGCAGCTGAAGAAGGAGGTTCTTCCCCTCCAGCAGGACCTTAAGTTGTTCCCGACTGGTTGCAATTTCCCCTGCTGAGCCCTGCATCTTTTCTTTGACCATTTCAATCTCTTCCAGCCGCTGTTTAATGCTGGTTCCATATCTCAGGTTTTTGCGGATGGGCACCTGGCAGACAGGGCAGACCTTCAACCTGATGGCAACTTCATCATCCTTTTGCTCATTCATGTAGCGGTCCAGGGCTTGCACCTCAAACATGTGGTTGCAGTCTTCTAGCTGCACAAAACGGGCATCAGGCTCATCCTCAAAGCCAAAGAAGATTTGAGTGACTTCTTCCTGGTGGCAGACACGGCACTTGTTAGGGCATGGCTCCCCACACAAACCAATGCAGGGGTGGCCACAATCCAGCAGCTTAGTACAAGGCACGTAGCATGGGGGTCGGTTGCAGGGCTCAGAGCAGAGTTTGGTGCACTGGTAATGCTGGCAGCGCCAAACACAGGGTTCCACGCAGGGGCTGCACAGTTCCCCACACTTCTTCTTGCACTGGCTATGGACACAGCGGTTCTGACAGGTCCGCTGACAGGGTGGGCACTCGCCAATGCATGGCTCCTGGCACTTGTGAGAACAGATGAGCAGACGCTTGCAGGGCTGCTGACAGCGCTCATGAAAGCGCCCTTCAAAGCAGCTGTGGCAGGAGCCACGGCAAGGATGCCCACAGTCCAAGATGGTGTGACACTTGGTGGTGCATTTGACTGGTAGGTCATACATGAGGTCTACCACATTACCACACTTCACCTGTTGATTATGCCCACACTTGAGTTGCGCAGTGACCATTTCTGAACACAACTGCACACACAACTCGCCACATGGGTGGCTGCATCTGTGCCCACATTTCAGAACCTTGGGGCAAGGCTCTTGGCAGCAGAATTCTGACTCAGGCATGGAACAAGGGACCATCTGTTCATGGCCACACCGACGAATGATTTTGGGCACCTTCACCTGACAAGGTTGACACTCCTGGAAGCAAACAAGGGGGCACCGATGCCCGTCTTGGCAGATGACCTTCTGGCATGGCTTCATACACTGGAACTCCTTGTGCAAGGAGTCATAGGGGTGGCAGGCACGGGTGCAGACATGCCCACAGCCCAGTCGGAACTCACAAGGCAGGCTACAGCCTCCTTCGGGAACTTTTTGGAAGTCAGAAGCTTTGGATACTAAAGTGTGGGTATCGGGGTGGTTCTGGCAGCACAGCCGGAGTGTCTGGCCTATTTGGTTGTTCTCTCGAAGAGTATGGATGATCTTGCTCCACAAGGGGACCTTGGCCAGCATCTGCATGTTTCCGATACAGTACATCCCCTTCTTGGCGCGGGACAAGGCCACGCAGATGCGGTTGGGTATCTGGAGAAAACCCACCCTGCATTCCTGGTTGCTCCGCACTAGCGAGAGGAGGATGATGTCATTCTCTTCCCCTTGGTATTTATCCACCACATGGACCTTGACACCAGCAAAAGTCTTAGCTGGCATGAGTTTGCGCAGACAGAACAGCTGCCCCGTGTAGGTGGTGAGGATGGTGATCTGGGAAGGCAGGTACTCCTGGCACAGGAAGTACTTGCACAGCTCTACCACAAAGTGAGCCTCGTGCTGGTTCTGGTGGCTTTTGCCTTCTTGAATTTCCTGTTCAGGAAAGTTGTGTTCTATAAAGAAAAGGTTGGAAGACACCCCCTGGGAAGGAAGAAAAGTGACATGTTAGAAAGTACACTTATGTAGGATTTTTCTATTTTCACATTCGTTGGCTATTGACACTGTTCCAGAGAGGGAGAGAGAGACCTTGATGGCCTTTTGTACACTCTATACATACCACAATTTTAAATTCTGTAGTCGCCATGTGCTGTGTTTGGGGCACTGGCAAATAGTGAAATGAATAAAGAATTTATGTCTACTTTAGTTTTCAAGATACTTGTTTGATATTACTATTTATACTGGCCATCCGCAATCCAACCATTATAGTTCAGGGAATAAGCATAAGCTATGATGATGAAGATGAGAGAGAAGCTAACTTATGAGCACTCTACTGTGCTGACTGCTTTACATACCTCATCTCCTCCAACAGAATAATGAAATGAGGCAGCAGCCATTCTTGCTGTACAGAAGACCCTAATACTCAGAATTGGTATATAACTTACTAAAATGTTACACAGCTACTAAGTGGCAGAGCTGGGATTCAAAACCCTAGGCTATACTCTCAAATTCTATAATATTCCTCCTCTTAAAAACCAGCTTTTTAAAAAGCTGGTTCCATTCCCTTCCAAAAGCTCGTACTCATCCTGAGGAAAATACAGCCTCCTAAGTTGCTGACAGCAGCAGATCAGGTAGGGCAGACTTACCTTAATCTTCTCATATTTGAGAACAGAGGGATGATTCTCCAGATCCTGGTAAATGTGGGGGGTCAAAAGCCGGGCAATTTCAGGGCGCATTCGGTGCTGAAATAGGACATACATATGTCATTAGGATCATGGGCAGAGAATAAATTGCACAGTTTTCTAAAGACTAGGTGACTGGTGGGAAATCTGGGGAGGTAGCATTTGAAAATAATAATAGGGACAAAAGAGCAGAATGTAAACAGCTCCTTCATCCAACACAAACTCAACAAGAGCTGATCTTGTGATATTTTAAAACAGAAAAACCTTGGCCCTGGCTGGTTAGCTCAGTTGGTTAGAGTGTCGTCCTGATACACCAAGGTTGCAGGTTCAATTTCTGGTCAGGGCACATACAAGAAACAACCAATGAATGCATAAATAAATGGAACAACAAAGCAATATTTGTCTCTCTCTAAAATCAATAAATTTTTAAAAACACACCCAAAAAACCAAAAATAAAGTAAATCTGTGAGTCATTTCATCACTAAACCAGTTTTATTTTATTTTATAATATATTTTTAGTGGTTTCAGAGAGAGGAAGGGAGAGGGAGCGATAGAAACATCAATGATGAGACAGTCATTGACTGGCTGCCTCCTGCACACCCCCTGCTGGGAATTGCCCGAGCCCACAATCCAGTCATGTGCCCTGACTGGGAATCAAACCACAATCTCTTGGATCATCGATCGATGCTCAACCACTGAGCCATGCTGGCCTGGCAATCAGTTTTATTTTTATGAGAACTTTCTTGCTGGCAGTTGGCAGGCACCCAGGAGCCTTCTCCTAGATAATTCATAATAACAGAGACCCAGTTTCTCACCTGGTAATTTAGACGGACAAAAGGAATGTTTACTTTCACCAGCCGTTCAAAGAGGGACACCTCAAGATTGAAATTCTTGGCCAGATCATACACATTGGCACTGGGGCGCAGCTGAGAAAAGAAACATGGCTGAGAATTCTCTATGGAAAACATGTTTCATCCAGTCGTCCATCCACCCACCCATCAAATGTTTTTTAAGTGCTTCTACATGCCAAATACTGCTCTAGGTGTAACAAGGGCCACGAAGGCAAGAAATAAAGGTGACATGACAGAGTATCCAGGGGTGCAGGTTCTTTAGCTACGCCTCTCTGAACAGTGACATCTGAGTTGGTGCCAGAATGGAAGAGGTTGCCAGTCATTCAAAAAGCAGGCCATGAGAAGGAGCAGGAAGGATAGGGGATGGGAACACGGTGAGCAAATTAGACGGTGGTATGAGGTGAAGTCAGAGAATACTGTAGGTCATTTAAGAAGCTTGATTTTTATATTAAGTGCAATGGGAAGCCACTGGAGAGTTTTGAGCTGGGAGTGACATGATCTGATTTACTTAAATTTCATGGCACCTTTATTAAGAATGGATGAGACAGTGGCAAAAATGGAAGCAGGGGGACAGGAAACATGGTATTGCAATAGTCCACTTAAAAGGCCATGATGGATAAGAAAAGTAGCAGAGGGAACAGATGAAATGGATGATGCTACCTCTAAAATATACCCCAAATCTAAGAGCACCTACTCTTAGATTGAAGATGGGAGGTAAGGGGAAAAAGAATCACAGAAAGCCATTAACAGGATTGAGAACTAGGGAAGCAGAGAGGCCAGGGTCTTCCTGACTGAGTCCATCCCCCAGTGATTGATTCCACTGCCCTACCTGCTGGTGGTCCCCAATCAGAATGAGGTGTTGGCAAGCTTTGCTCAATGTAGCAATGGTGTGGGCCTCAAGAACTTCAGCAGCCTCTTCCACAATGACAATCCGAGGCTCTACCTTCTGCAGAATCTGGCGATATTTGGCAGCACCTCAAGTCAAGAGAAGAAAGAGGTCCCTCTGAGATTATACACTGGACCCACCAGGCCACTGGGATTCTGGGTCTGTGACAACTGAGCCCTCACATTCACCCAGGGCTGTGGTGACTACTGAATGAGAGAACAAGTGCTGCTGGATGGTCACCAGAGCATCATACCCATGTTGGTCATTGTTGGGGTTGTAAATGCAACAGAAGCAAGTGGGTGAATTTCACCAACAGTTCTCTAAATACAGCTTGCCTACTTTCAATAGCTTTTCATGGTATTTTCCTCTAACCTACTAAAGAAGCTTCTCTTTATCTGTTCTTGATATAATCTGATAGGAGATTGGCACCAGGAGTGAATGAATGGAGCAGGTAAATTTCCTCAACTTTTCTTACCTGTGGTTGTCATTCCCACAACCTGGGCATCTTTCAAAATGTGCAGGTCTTCCTGGAGTCTCAGCTCAGCCATTCTCTCTGCTGATGTGCGGTACTGGTGCTCATAGTTGAGGATCTTTCGGCGGGTGTCAGCCTGGTACTTCTGTAGCCACAGCCTGAAGAATATGAAGAACCAGGTAGAGGGAGCTGCGTGCTCTTTGAGAAGGTGGAAGAATTCCCTTCAGTATGCCCTGTGTTTGAAGTGGAGCCTAGACCACTGAGGAACTTATAGGCAGGCCACAGAGAGAAAGAAAGGAGAGACCCAGATGCGCAGGGACCCAAGAGTCTAATATGCCCAACAAAAAGATGTGTAGAGACGTGTATATAAGTGGTCAGGAACTAAAGAAGGGGGTGGGATAAAGAACAGAGGTTAAATATTGGGAGTAGAGCAAGGGACTTCAAAAGCTTCCATTATTTCTCCAAATTCTTCCTGCCCCATCCCTGGCTGAGTCTTCTCCCCTCCCTAATTCTCTGGTCTTGTTTTACAAATAAAACTGATCATGTCACTTACTCTACTGTAAAATTTTCCAATGGGTTTTTGATACTCTTCAGATAAAAGCTTTGCTCCTCACCTCAGCCCTATGAGGCCTGTATTGTCTGGCCCCTGCCCACCTCTTTGACTTTACATTTCTCTCTCTGAGCCACAGCTACGCTGGCAGCCTTTCTTAATTTCTCAAACATTATGTTCCCTCCTTTCTCAAGGCTTTACCTATGAGGTCCCCCCAAAATCTCATCTGTTCCCGCTTCCTTATTGGCCTTATAAATACCTACTCCTCTTTCAGATCTCGCCTCCCATGTCATTTTCCTAGATACCTAAGACCAGCTCAGATCCCACGTTAATATTATTAACACTCCTTGTTCTTTTCTTTCTTAGGTGTTTATGCCCACTTGTAACTTTTATTTGTGGAATTAACTATTGTGTCTCCTTGGATAGACTCTAAACTCCATGAGGAGGTAGAGCCAAGTGTCTTTTATCCCATGGCTGCATTCCTAGCCCTCAGCTCAGTGGGGTGGCTCAGTCTATTATTAGTTAACATTGTTGAAAGGCCAGGGGCTGGGGGAGGTTATATTCCAGGAAAAGAAAAAGAACCTCCTCGGGCTGGCTGGGGGAGTTGGGGGATGAGAACAGTACCTATAAAGCTGCCAGCGAGAATTCAGATCCAGCTGCCAAACATCCTGGATTTCACTGGCCTCAGCCTCGGTCATGGAGTTCAGTTTGCGAAGCTCATCCTTCACTTTCTTTTTCATTTTCTTTTTCTGGCTACGCTGGGTCTGCAGACATCAATACCAGCCAGGGTCACCATCTGAGCAGAGGGTGGGCCCTGTTCCAAGCCATAGGTGTGGGTCACAGCACATTAAAAAAGGGGCTGCCCCCTCTGATTAACTTCCTTAAGTTTCTCACTCACTCTCAACAGATAATCCATTGCAGAGTGGCTAAAAGAGGAGTCTGGGACCAGTATACCTGGATTCAAAGCCCCATCTACCTCTTATTAGTTGCAGGACCTAGAGTAAGTTGCTGAACCTTTATGAGCCTCAGCATCCCTTCTATAAAATGGGAATAGTAATAGTACAGCTTCACAGGGTTGCTGGATTGACTTAAAGGAGTAAATACATGGAAAGCACTTAGAATAGTGCTGGCACCAATCATCACAGAACCCCTTTTGACCACAGTTTGTTTCTCATTCCTAAAACATGTGTCATCAAAGTAGTGGACTCGAGTCTTTCCTGTTGAACGCCATTTAGGGCCTGCTAAGATGGTCTTAACACCATCATATGATAGTGAGACAAATGTCACATTATGGATCTTGCCCCACTTCAAAACCAAACTCCTCCTGAAGCCACATGGCAGAGAAATGCCTAATCCATGTTTCAAAATATTAGGATCATGACTCCACCCAACATATATAGCGATGATGAACTAAACTAAGAGATCAGGTTCGAAGCTATCAGACTGGTGAAAACTGCATCCAAAGTTACCCTTTATTTTTTAAAAATCAACAATGGGGTTCAGGAAATATTATTTTGAGTACACAGTCCTCTATTATCATAGTAATACATGCTAAATTCTGAAGACCACTGGGTTCTCCCAAAAAAAGGAGCAGAGGGAAAGTCCATATGTAGATACCTGGGCATTCACACAATTCTGGCTTTAAGAGAAACATCAAAGTCCAGAGTGAATGAAGTATTCTATCCCTGCATGGCTTGCTTCACTCCATTTTGCTTGAATTGTCTACCTAATGCATGTTCAGACTTGTTTCTAGTTTCTAGTTTGTAGAATATAACATCCATAGAAGTGCTAAGACCATAAGTATTTGATCTGACCCATATGTGCTGCATTTTCCTGAGAGTTCACGGGAAGCACTTGGCTATCTGCTTTCTGTCTTTCTAAGTTGGCATTTCTTGCCAGGGCCCCTCTGAAGGGTCATTAATTTTTATATTCTTGGGAATTAGACACATCCTATACTGGGGTATGGTTGTAAAAGGGATAAATTCAGCTGACTGTGAGAATGAGGTGAATACACTACAATAAAAGTGGGTGAAAAAAGGGGGCTGCAGTTCTGATCAGAACAGATGTTCTCAGGCTTATTTCAGGAGAGACTAACCCCTACCCACAAAGCAGTAATAAGTGAACTCCCATTTATCCATTCTGTTAGGACTAGAAGGGAAGTGAGTTTACCTCCCACTCTCCTGTGGCTTGCTCCTGCCCAGCTGCTGTCCCAGGGCCGTAGTTTTCTATGCCTACGGCCAGAAGCAATTTAGCCAGTTCCTGGACTGCCCCATTCTCTTCCTTCTTCCGCCTCCGGGGCCTCACCACCTCTTCCTCTTCAATCACCCGGTCGGCTTGAATCAGGTCTGCCTCCTCCGCAATCTCAATCAGAGCGCCCTCTTCCCCCTCTTCCTCTTCCTCTCCTTCTGCCGGGGCTGAGAGAGGAAAACAGGCAGGACAGAGATGAAGACTCTTGAAGCCAAAGGATGAAAGAGGAACCAATAAGATCTTAGATGGGTGAAGACATACTCGAGGGAGGCTTAAGTGGTGACCTCTAGGGAGAGACATTGGGAGGAATGGGAGGTAGGGAATGGAGACTTAGGTTTCCTTACATACTTTTTTGTTACGATTTTATATTAATCATTCCCCCCTTTAAAAAAAAATCTTTACCACATACAGGGAGGGGCAAAAGTAGGCTTGCAGTTGTTCATACGGAAAATAATACAATAATAAATTAAGACAAGAATAAACACTGTTTCGCATACTCACAACTGTCAGCCTACTTTTGCCTCACCCCATATGTTTATATACCTCTAAACAACATTGTCTAGTCTTGACTTTTTTGAGCTCTATATAACTGAAATAATATTGTATATATTTCCCCTTAACTTGCTCTTTTCATTCAGCATGTTTTTGAGATTCATATATGTTGCCATATATCCTCTAATTCTTTTTCACTGTTGTACAGTATTATTTCATGATCTGTACAGACTGTAACTGATCCATCCATTGTACAAATGTTAATTAAGACATTTGAGTTCTTTCTGTTTTTCCGTTATCATAAAGTAGTTGTGCCAATTACTATCCCCACTAGCAGTGTATCAGAGCTCCCGTTGTTCCACATTCTTATCAATGTGGGGTTATATACAACATTTTAATTTTTGCCAATTTGGTGGGTGCATAATAGTACCTATTTTCCTACTAAGCTATTTAGTCTGGTTGACTAAAGCTCTTTACATATCCTAGGTATTACTTTTAAATTCTGCTCTTCTGGTCCTTAACATAATCCACGTGATGATGTAATTCTAGATAGACACATACTTCTTACCTATATTTTCAGGTCCCGCCGGAGCAACACTTTGGGTGAAAGAAATGACACCCAGACCCAGCCACTCCAGTATCATGGAATGCTTCCAGCGTTGGAAGCAAACCCATTCACTATCCTGAGGAAGGAAGAATTTATCAGTTATGAGAATTCTATGACAACCAGTGTGAAGGAAAGGTCTCCTTAATGGATCAAAAGTAATTTCCTTAAAATCCAGAGGCTGCATATTGGCAACCCATGGGCAACTGGGTCATTTAATATGACTTGCATAGAATTTTAAAGATAAAAATTTCCAGCCTCTCTTGACAAAATTAGGAGCTCTGGCAGCAATGATGCTGCATTCCTAAATGGCAACAAATGGCTGGAAGTGGGTTGCTGCCACCCCTTTTCCAGTTTGCCAGTCCTCTCTACTTCCCAATGTCTCACATCTAGCCTGCTTCAGTCATTTATAGTACCTAATTAACCCCTTTAGGCTTTTGGCTTTGTAACCCTGAAATTCACCAACCCACTAATAACAGAGGTAGCACTTAACTAGATTCCTGGCTATTTTACAGAGATTGTGTTAGTTACTTCTCATAATATTTTTTGAAGGCAGGCATTATTATTATTCTTGTGTGACTATTCAGAGATCTGAGGATCACATGGCCGAAGTCACACAATTAATCTGTGTGACTTAGGTCTGTTGACCCCAGGCTCCCTGAATGTGCTAGGTTGTCTTGTTATATTTCATTTAGCAAGCACGTATTGCACATTCATGAAGAGGTTTACAAATATTAACTTTTTTATCCAAATAAAAATCCTGTAAGAATTAAGTTGATCTATAAGAAACTCCATTTTTGCAAATCAAATTTACAAAAACTGGCAATTTCATATGATTCAATTTGATATTGTTATTATCCCCACTTTATAAATAAGGAAAAAGGCACAGAAAAATCTAGTGACTTGCCCAGAGCAAAACCAGGATTCCAACCCAGAAGGCTAGCTCCAGAGTCTTGTTCTTGACTAGTATATTTAGTTGTCTCTCCTTGTGAAATGGAATTTCTAACATTATGGCAGCATCAGATTACCAAACAGCTAATGCTTTAAAGGGCTGCTGCTTCTGCTGAAGTCTCCTTCCAAGTACGGAGTCAAGACAGATGCTTGTGCCTCCCAGGACGACCCCTACCTGTATTGGTCCATTCATCAGGCTTTTCCAGTGCTGGGAGGAAATGTACTTCTGCAGGTGTTGTTCCTGTATTACGCCACGCGTAGTGCACTCCAGAGTCTGGGCCCCTTCATGCAGCTCTTGCTCTGACTCCTTCATTTGTGTCATAATCTGCCAAGAACAGTAGTAAAGAAATGATGAGGAAGTATCATCACCCCCCAAACTCAGTCCCTGCCTTGAAGGAAAACAAAGGTAAGACAGGAATAGCAAGAAGGGAGAATAAATAAATAGACTGGTCAGTCAACAAACCAATTTCCAAAGCACATTACTGTGGTCTTAAAACCAAAGGTTTAGTATCTAAAATGTCTAAAAGACACCTACCAATCAATCAGGAAACAAATAATAAATTAGAAAAATAGTCCAAGGGTACTGTTGTGGAAACTTCTCTTTTCCCCTCAGTAATAACTCAGAGTTTTGGTCAGGCACATGGCTGCCTAGCTAGAAGATGGTCAATAGGCTATAAGTAGAAGTGTTGTGGGTAGTTTGGGGGAATCAGCCGAAGATCCTGGCAGGAGTTGGGAAGGGGCAATGTGCCTTTTTTTGCCCTTTCTCAGCCTTGATTATGAGGGCAAAGGTCACACCGCAGGATTAGCAGAACGTAATGCTGGAAGGAATGAATCTGTGTCCTTCATAGCTTTGTGGAGCCTCCCCATCTGCCTTGGACTGACTTCCCAAAAGCCAATGCTATATTGTTTAGTTCCCCCTGAGCTACCTCCCATATCCGAAGCTGGGACTTACACTCATGTAGGCCCTTCGGAGGTGCATGGGAAGGTTTCGGCGGAATTCCCGCTTGTTCCTCAGCAACCTCAGGGTGAACTGCTTCAGGATGTCACTGCTGCTCCGTCCACCTACCCGCACAATGCTGGGCTTTTGACACTTATAGATACCTGCGGAGAAAAGTGCAGCACAGCAGAGTTGAGAGGAGCTATGTTGGATTCTCTCTGGTGAGAACTGTTGCGTCAGCTGGTTGATTAGGAAACAAACTGGTGCTTACAGGAAATCTATCCCATTAATGAGCAAGAAGGCTCCAAAGATGATATGACCTGTAGAGCAGTGAAGTGTGGTGCTTAAGAGCACAGGCTTTAGAATCAGACAACTGTGGACTCAACTTACAGGCTTCACAACTTATTACTATGTAACCTGGGGCAAATTACTTAACTTGAGCCTCAGTTTCTTCATCTGTGATTTGAAAACAGCAATACTTTCCTTATAGGGCTATAGTCTATATAAACTAGAGAATATCTTTAATAGCTCCTAGGTAGGGCCTGCCATAAAGTAAGTTCTTTGGTAAATGTTCTCTATCTTTTCATGCTACATCTATTTACTGATTGCTTACTATGTGCCAGACGTATGCTAGGTTCTGAAGATATAGCAGTGAAAACACAGACTCAGTTTCTAATTTGTTCTCATTTCTCACAGTCTGGCAGACAATATACACATGAAACAATTTATCACTATAGTGAAAATGCAGTAAATACTATAAATACATGATGCTGTAAGTATGTAACAGGGGACCTTACCCAGCTTGAATGAGGCAGGGATCTAATTCTTAAGGAGTAGTGTTTAAACTGAGACTCCAAGATTAAGAAAGATTTAATCCAAGTGAAAGGAGGATACAGAAGAATTTGGAAAACAACATTCTAAGCAAAAGGAAAAACATACTTATTTATTCGTTAACAAAGATAGTATTTTTCAGGGCCTAGTATGTGCAGGATCTGTGAATAGAGTAAGAAATAGGACCAACCCTCACGGGGTTTACAGTCTAGGGTAGAGCCACACAAAAATAAATGGTTGCATATGTGCTAAGTCTCTGAAGAAAAAGTACAAAAGGAGACTTAATCTTGGCTTAGGGCGATATTAAAGTGCAACTGAAGAGAGTTAAGGCGAAATCTGAAGAACGGAGTTGAGCCTGCCAGGCTGGATGGGGTGAGGGGTGG